ACGGCGTCCAGTTGGCTGGGAAATGACGATCAATGACATTTCCTATATAAATTTACATATAAAATGACAGCGACCTTCATTTCATAGCCATCGTTGACGCCGTTTTTTTCTCGATCATAGGTAGTTATGTGTGAACAAATTCTCATTTCATATAAAAAATTGGAGCTCTATCTAGAGTATATTTGAATATAAATGTTTTTATGTATTGGAAGGGGGACTGTAGTTTTCAAATATAATAAAGAAAATAGACTAAAAAATGTGTGTAAGTTCTTTTTAAACTATTCTGTAGTTACGTAAATGTGTTTCAAATAGGTTGCTTTTCACAATAAAGTCAATACACAGTAATTATGCTTTACTTTTTCAAAACACACTCTTTGTTTTTATTATCAGAGAGTTATTAATATTAGAAAATTTAGTTACATGAATATAATAGGAGTAAATATTATGTTTCAAGTTTCAAATAATTAGAATATGATATGAGTCATAATAGCTTAAATATGATTGCTAATAAAATACCTAGTTTATACACATTTAGATATATCTCTTTAAATATAAATTAGTATTGCCACCATGCGATTAATGGGAAATACAATATGGTCGTGAAAAAAAAACGGCGTCAGCGATGGCTATGATATAAAGATCGCTGTCAATTTATGTGTAAAATTTTATGGAGAATGTCACCGACCGTTATTTTCAAGCCATTCTGGACGCCGTTTTTTTCGACCATACGGTATTTCTAGGTATGGAATTATGTCTCTAATATGTAGTTAGCCTATTTGCCTATTGTTAATTATAACGTCGTCAAACTATAAAATTTGCTATATTTTTTACTTAAATTTTTTTAGTAATATCAGAACATGTTTTGAATAGTTTAATTAGTAATAGCTACTAACATGTTCAGTTATTTTTTTTTTCTATAAAGCTTTTTTGATAAAAAAATAAGTATACCTGCTAAGACGTTAAATTGCCTGAGAAATTACGATCGATGCCATTTACCATCCACTTTTACACAATAAAATGCCATCGATCGTAATTTCAAAAGCAGAAAACTTGCCGCCGTTTTTTCCAATGAAATGGGCGGTGGGGAGAAAATTACAGATTCCTGTATTATATTAACGACTAACGACATTATTAATCGCATGTACACAAAGCATGTACACTATTAGAAATCGATCTAATTTCTAATATTATCGAGCTTTTAAAATTCGAGAAAGTGATCGGAGATTGTGTTTAAAGTGTTGTGAAATGTTCGTTAGTGCATATTTTTGTGTCGGTAATCGGTATCGGTATAGGCAAATCACGATGGAGTATAGAAATCCGGAGAAGGTGGATATGCTAAGAGCATAGGTACTTTCTGGCAGGGGAAAGCGCTGTAGAAGCTCGGAGACTTTATTCCGAAGAGTATCCGAATAGATAAATCCCTAATGCTCGAACCTTTGTAAGTATGGTTCAGCATTTGAGGGATTCGGGAAAAGCAACGAAAATTGCTGCAAAACGTTAAAAATTCCATGCTCAGAAGAAGGAGAGCATCTATTGGAAATGGAGGTCGTCATTTTGAACAATTATTATAATAGCATGCAGTCAAGAAGCGAAGGGTATACCGGGTGGTGCATCATCGTTGGAAATATAGGATATCCCATGCAAATTTTGAACTGTCGAGATATCGGATCCCCTTATGCAAATTTGTAATGTATCTTTAAAAACCATTTACGATTTAGCTCTAAAATTAATAGGGGAGCCAATATTTCCACAGTTGAAAATTTGCATAGTGTTGTTAAGTATTGTAGTGAAGTGATGTTATTAAGTGTAGTGTTATGTGCAATTTTAAGAGTGGTAAAATGGAAAAAAAAGAAAGCTCTGCAGTTGTATCTCTCTGCTATAGGGATATCTTGTTTATTTGGTAAGTTTTTTTTTCTTTTAGTTTATTTTGTGGAATGTGGAAAGTAGGGCTACTGGCGATCACCCACTTAAAAAAAGTAACGCACCTCTGCAGAACCACTTGGGTGGTGTGGGATTTTGCAAGTACTTTTTAAGTCTTTCTAGTCGATGTGGCAACAGCGGGCGGCGAACAAGCTGAGATCCGCGAGATCTCTCCCCCGCGCCGGGGGATCCGCGAGATTCCCCGGCGGCTCTCAAAATGTCGCAATTTTTTTTTAAACTTTCAAAGTTAAATAACTCGTTTATTTTCAATTTATTTTAAAAATGGTAAAGAGAAAATATGTTTCTTTTGGCCAGATCTACCACCCCTTAAAATATCTGCACTCATTTCTGGGACACCCTGTATATATATATATATATATATATATATATATATATATATATATATATATATATATATATATATATATATATATATATATATATATATATATATATATATATATATATATATATATATATATATATATATATATATATATATATATATATATATAAATTTCAGCCCGATCCATTCATAAATAGAATTTTAAAAAATCAAAAACCTCAAAAATGCCGCCATTTTGACAGCTGTCAAAAATTCGGGTCATGCCTTGCAAAAAAATGTATTATCATCGGGACTGAACCTACATGCCAAATTTCAATCTCCTACAATAAAAGAAAGTGGTTTTAATTTAGCTTACAAGATTTGCCCCGAACAAACATACATACATACATAGATAGTTACATACAAAGCAAGTTAAATAAAAGCTTATAAAACTAGCCTCCAATGAGGAAACTAAATAAAAAAATGGTCACTTGGCATTAGCAAGCCTCCAAATAAGTAGTCTTCATCGTTTTGAAAAGCACTAAAGTGTGAATATACTTTTGAATTGAACATTAATTTTGAATTGAATTGAAAATTAAACAGACTATATTTTGAATTATTTCCATAATTATTTGTGCAACCAGCAGCCGCACATCCCGGAAAACCTTTTCCCATTCCATCAATAAAAATAAAATTGAAATAAAAGCACAAATACCTATGGTTAAGGCTGACTGTCGGTCGCTTAATTCAGTTAGCGCATCGTCGGAGTGGGGCGTTTTAAATTCGAGCGTGGGAAAAATTGGCGAGTGTCAAAGCTATGTTATTCTGTAAGCTGTGCCTACGGTGTATCTAAACCTTGCAGTGTTGCAACCTCCTATGTTATCCACATTCTACATAGTTCGGCGGAACATAGTTCTATATTTATAAATTCATAGACAAATTTCTAAATTTCTAAAATTATTAAATTTCAAAAAATTAGGAATGTCAAATTTAATCTTTTATCAGTGCTCATTATTAATAATTATAGAAAAAAAAAACACATTAATTATTTTTAGTACTTACCCTTTCAATGAAAACTTAACAAAAACCACCGAAAATTAACTAAAACATTACGTTTATGACGTTTACGAAAATCTTTGTTATGCTGCAAAATAACTTTATTTTGGAATAAATTTAATAAAATGATTCATATTATTCACAATTAGGTCACAAAAAGAAATTCCTAAAATGTTTATCGTAATATAGAATTCAATTCAAGAAATTTAGAAAACAGCCCGAATAATCGATTCATTTTTGTTTTGTTTGTTTTCTTTCATGTTTCTCTGTTTTATTTGAACCACTGTTTTACAAAACACCTTGAAAAGCGCACATTACTTTGAATACCTTTCTGAATGAATAAATGTTGAGAATTATTGTCTCTTATCGCCACTTTACGAACTACTTTCAATCTAAGAAAATACATGTTTCACTCAACAATTATTGACAACGTATTTTGTTTTTTCCTTATTTTTTCGATGTATTTCGACAATTCCATCGACAGCCTAACCGTCAGCCAAGAACTGCCGCGTGTGAACTGGTCCTTTGAATCGCCGGTCGCCGCGCCGTCGTGGCGGGCTTGCGTCAGACGACGATGTTAAGCAACGTTGCCGTAGTTACAACAATTTCAAATTCAAGACATTCGAAGCAATCAAATTCGTATTAAATTTTAAAAATAAAACAGAGAAACATGAAAGGAAACAAACAAAACAATACCCAAAAATGCATTGATTATTCGTCGGGCTGTTTTCGATGTATTGAATTCTGAATTACGATAAACATTTTAGAAATTTCTTTTTTGTGACCTTATCAATAACCAATTCATTTGTGTTTTGTTTCCTTTCATGTTTTTCTGTTTTATTTTTAAAATTTAATAAGAATTTGATTGCTTCGTGTGTCTTGAATTTGAAATTGTTGAAACTACGGCAACCTCGCATGACGCAAGCTCGACACGGCGGCGCGACAAAGGAGCAGTTACCAGTGATGCGCCGCTCTATTGGCCGACGGCCGACGCGACGTTTGCGCTGTCGATGGAATTGTTGAAATACGTAGAAAAAATAGCGAAAAAACAAAATACGTATTTAAAATTGTTGAGTGAAACATGTATTTTCTTAAATTGAAAGTAGTTCGGAAAGTGGCGGTAATAGACAATATTTCTCAACATTTATTCATTCAGAAAGGTATTCAAAGTAATGTGTGCTTTTCAAGGTGTTTTGTAAATCAATGGTTCAAATTGTGATGAGGCTTATATGAAAATAATATGTTAAAATTGGGGACTGTTATTTTAGTAGTTATTATAAAGCATGTACAAGTAAAGCAGCACAGTGAAGTGTATTTTAGTTAAGTGTATATCGAGAAAGAGAACTGTCACAGTTATATCGATCTGTCATAAGTAACTTTTTTAATGTTCTCAAAATGTTGCGATTATTTTTTAAAATTTTCAAAGTTAAATAACTCGGTTATTTTCAATTTATTTTAAAAATGGAAAAGAGAAAATATGTTTATTTTGACCAGATCTACCACCCCTTAAAATATCTGCACTCATTTCTGGGACACCCATTGGAGCTACCTTTATTTCCGTTCGCAGCAAGAACCAGACAGTTATTATCTCTGGTTTGGCTAGCAAAATAAGTTAAAGCGGAGCTGCCTGCTAGGTAATTACAGTCACCCTTAAAATTGGTCTTTAATTAGTTAATAGTAATTAATTTAGCATACTTACGGTAAATACTCATAAATAAGTAATTTCTAGCATGTCGCGGGGTATAAGGTACTACTATCGGCCACACAAAATAGTTGAGAGCCAAAATAAAAGACATGTAAATCCTATAGACGAACACGAACATGCTCATCGGATGAATCATATAGTAATATTTGATCAGATGGCGTTGTTCTTCACTTCTGAACATACAGAGCGATTTTATGTAAAATCTAGTTAGGGGATGGCTCGGACTTATCATCATAAATCTGCAATAAATATAAAATTGTTTGATTGCTATTTTTTACGGAGGGATCAACAACCAATAAAATAGTGTCAAGTGGTGTAAAAATGAGATACGCCATACAGAACGGCAACAAGTCAGTTTTAAAAAGACTTAAGTCTTAAGTCATAAGTCATTTCCAAAATCAAAATGATTTTAGTCTTAAGTCAAATTCCACATAAAGTTTAAATGATTTTAGTCTTAAAACGTTAACTTAAGCCATTTTATTTCAAGTCAAGTAATTTTTATAAAGACTTAAATCAGTTTATTTAAGTCATTTTTTGAGATAGTTGTTTAAGTCGTTTTTATCACTAAAGTCTATATTTTTTATTTAAATCATGACGATGTGCAAGTTAATGAGACACGCCATACAGAACTGCAACAAGTCAGTTTTAAAAAGACTTAAGTTTTAAGGCATAAGTCATTTCCAAAATCAAAATGATTTTAGTCTTAAGTCAAATTCAACATAAAGTTTAAATGATTTTAGTCTTAAAACTTTAACTTAACCCATTTTATTTCATGTCAAGTAATTTTTATAAAGACTTAAATCAGTTTATTTAAGTCATTTTTTGAGATAGTTGTTTAAGTCGTTTTTATCACTTAAGTCTATATTTTTTATTTAAATCATGACGATGTGCAAGTTAATGAGACACGCCATACAGAACTGCAACGAGTCAGTTTTAAAAAGTCTTAAGTCTAGTTATTAAAGTCTAGTCATAAGTCATTTCGAAAATCAAAATGATTTTAGTCTTACGTCAAATTCAACATAAAGTTTAAATGATTTTAGTCTTAAAACTTTAACTTAAGCCATTTTATTTCATGTCAAGTAATTTTTATAAAGACTTAAATCAGTTTATTTAAGTCATTTTTTGAGATAGTTGTTTAAGTCGTTTTTATCACTAAAGTCTATATTTTTTATTTAAATCATGACGATGTGCAAGTTAATGAGACACGCCATACAGAACTGCAACAAGTCAGTTTTAAAAAGACTTAAGTTTTAAGGCATAAGTCATTTCCAAAATCAAAATGATTTTAGTCTTAAGTCAAATTCAACATAAAGTTTAAATGATTTTAGTCTTAAAACTTTAACTTAAGCCATTTTATTTCATGTCAAGTAATTTTTATAAAGACTTAAATCAGTTTATTTAAGTCATTTTTTGAGATAGTTGTTTAAGTCGTTTTTATCACTTAAGTCTATATTTTTTATTTAAATCATGACGATGTGCAAGTTAATGAGACACGCCATACAGAACTGCAACGAGTCAGTTTTAAAAAGTCTTAAGTCTAGTTATTAAAGTCTAGTCATAAGTCATTTCGAAAATCAAAATGATTTTAGTCTTACGTCAAATTCAACATAAAGTTTAAATGATTTTAGTCTTAAGACTTTAACTTAAGCCATTTTATTTCATGTCAAGTAATTTTTATAAAGACTTAAATCAGTTTATTTAAGTCGTTTTTTAAGTTAGTTATTTAAGTCGTTTTTATCACTTAAGTCTATATTTTTGATATAAATCATGACGATGTGCAAGTTAATGAGACACGCCATATAGGGGCCTTATTCTATAAGTATTTTATTGATCGATTCGGTAGAATTTGTTCGGTTGTGACGACATTTTCGATTCGGTAGCGCGAGTTATGTATTTTATTGTAACTAATTATTTTATTATTATTATATTGGTGGTTGTTTTGGGATGAAACGGGTTTCTTCCATTTTTTTCCATCCAATATATAGAAGGACTCCGCATACAAGGGCGGCACTGGTGAAAATTGAAGCTGTCGCAAGGTTCAATGAAGATCCGGGATTGTCCAGAGGCTGTAGCTGGAGTGTTGACAGTACTTTCTGTGCTTTCATCATCTCGTCTAAATTTATTTCTTCGAGGGTTAGTTTGGAGATGTTGTTACTATCTTGGGAAGAGGAGAATTTTGGCAGTTCTAAAACATATTGAAATTCTGTTTTTGTTTCGATTTCAAAAGTTAAGTTTTCTATCTCAACAGGGCATAAAGATATGCTGACGATGCTTGGTTCAGAGAATTTGTATAGTCCTCGTTGACATTTGTCTCGGGCAATTGTCTCGTTTACAGGAATTACCAAAATTTCGTTACCATATAGGCGTTGAATGGTACTTTTTATATACTTAACGTTGATCATTGGACACATATTATTTGATGTTTTTAAAAGCTCGAAGAGGCAGTGTTCGTCTTTTGATAAGGCGGTTTGTTTACAGATGAAAAGGTCTTCTGGTTGTGGACATTCTTCTTCTGTGGTCCAGTAATCTTCTTTTGTGAGTAGGATGTAAGGGTTAGATAGAAGGATAGTTTTGTTTACAATAGGTATTGGGAATATTTTGTGAAGGATGTAGTGGGTGGGTAATATAATTGGTGTGTATATTGAAAAGAGTATTGAATTGTTTTTAATAATGACTTGAACAGATAGATAATTATAAAAATTTATTAATTCTTTGAATTCGGGTATTCGGTTTGCACCGTATATTGTTTTTATATTTTCCATTAATGTTAAGAGTTGGTTTGGATTAAGTATAGAGTTGTGCATTTTATTTACATGGGCAAATGAGATTGCATTTTCGATATTATTAATTATTGAATTTAATGTATTTAATTGTTTAATTGTAACATTACGTTGTCCAAAATTAAGGAAATATATAAGGCACTAGATAGGTTTACCTGATTTTTGTCAAGTAAATTAATTTTTTCTAATATAAGTAATTGATTATTGTTGATTTTATCTAAATTTTTAGTATATTCCTGGGTAACTGTGGATAAAATTGATTGTTCTTTATAAAATTTTTTATTTAAAATGTCTTGATGTTTTGTCAGTGTATTGAAATACTTATTTTAGCACGACTTCCAGTCCTCAATATTAATTATAATTACCAAGTAGTAGTCCTCTGGATACTCACTAGTGCCACTATATTTTAAAGAAGTCCGGCCCTGTGTGTCCTCTACCCTACCCTGCCAAATCTCAGTATCTTCATTATTCCTTTAGTGCTCGCTAAGAATGCCACGCGTGGGGAAAACAATGGACGAAATTTGCTTCGGATTGGCAACGAATGAGAATTTTATCTCATGTAAGTATTATTAAATAATATATATGTTGTTAATCTTTTTAGCGTAGGAAAAAGAAGCAAATCCTCCCCAAATATTTCTCAAAAACCTCTTTTCAAAAGATTAGAGTGGCTAGAAAGAGACCGATGTGGTTCTTTTCGTCCCAACCACGTTCGCATTTCTTAGATAAAAGACGCGAACGTCGCCGTCGGAGCAGTTCTCGCCATAGCCGTGTGTCAGACAAAGACAGACGGGAGGGAAGTGCGTCTGACGGTAGTCGCCGTGGTCGGCCCACAGGGGAACTGTTTACATTTTATGCGAATGCCAACATCCTATTGTTATTGTTTGGTATGTTGCCAAGTCTATCTCCGCTTTTGTTTATTTTTAATTTTGTATACGTATACTTTGGGGAAATCTTAAGAAAATAATAATATAATTAGCTTACTACTTTTCAAAATTTCGACATTTATAATTTTATTTAGTACTTATTAAGATTCAGTCAAGATTACAAGAAAAATAAACTTGAAATAATTGTAAATTTCGTCATTTTTCATGAGCCGTTAAGATTAATTTTTAATCTGACAACGCCGCTCTGTTGCTATAGTATTTTCTATAGTAGGGGAATTGGACGCGGTCAACAGTGTCAATACTGTCGAAAAACAGCTGATTGGCATGATCAGCTGTGTGCCGTGCTTTTATTTTCCATATTTCTTAACTATTAATAAACTATTAATGTATAATTGTTTCATTTTATATAAAAGACCAAAATTAGCATTTAAAATGGGTCTACACTGGGAAATGTGTGAGAATTAAAGAATTTAAACATCGTGGAGTGTCATTTCAAAAGTAAGTACTGTTCTGTGGTAATACAAATTGTGTCCCGATGTCAAACGTGACGTCACGCAATTAGTTACCATTTAACCAATGCTATTCAAAGCTCTTTGTAGCTACTGTATTGCTGTCCTCCATTTGCGAATTTCAAGTTTCAGAGCTTTACGCCCTGGGCTGCTCAGAACGGTTCTGAAAGGAGCTGTGCGAGATAGCCTGGTGCCTCCATATGGCGCGGAACCAGTTCTGAAATTTATGACTCAATTGAATGGAGGGAGAGTATCGCGTTCTTGAACAGTTCAGAGCTGCTCAACTGCGTGAAAGGAGGACAGCATATGGTGTATAATTCGGTGAGGGTGCATCCACATTATCTTAAAAAAAGCGGATCGGCGACGGTGTATCGGCGTAACGACCTTGAATCGATTTCCAGCAATTTTATTGGCTGAAAAATTCATCTGTCAGAAATTTTATCTGTCAAATTCACCTGGCAAAAATTTCAGCCAATAGAATTGCAGGAAATCGATTCAAGGTCGTTAAGCTTACGCCGTTCCGCTGTTTAGGATAGTGTGGATGCACCTCTACGTACTAAAACAGTTGCAAAAGGTAAATAGAGAGATCACATGACCTCACATTTTTGCACCAAAAATGTACAATCCCACTTAAAAAAGTACAATTTCGACACCATTTATAGTACAAAAATTTTTGCCCTTGTAACAACGCTGAATACAACATCTCATTTTGTTTACCTAAAATATTTACCATATTTGTTAAAATTTGTTTATTTGTTTTATAATATAATTTTGTAAATATAATATATTATGTATATTATAAGAAGTAATGTTTATATTTTTGTTACAATATTGTCCGATTTAAAATCGTATATTTGTATTTAATTATGAATACAAATAATTTGTATGTTTACATAAATTATAATTGGTATGTTCACATTTGTAAAAAAAAATAATGCCTATTTACGTTTTCTATTACTAAGATAAATATTTTATTTCAGATTTCTAAAAGATAGTGAGAGAAAAATTAAATGGTTTTCTCTGTTAGGATTTATTCATAGCATAATATTAAAAGTCGAGCAAAGGG